TAAGTGTCTCAAACAAGGAGTAAACAGACGTCCAGTACCCCTTGACTTTCAATATTTTTTTAGCTGAAGTCAGTTCGTGATCAGTCTTCAAATCAATAGAATGTCTGCAGAACAACATATGAAGAAGGGACACTTGAAGATTATTTTTATGGTTCCCTTGGGTTCCTAGTGAAACATAGGGCTTCAGCTACACGTCTCCGCTTACTCCTGTCTTCTACTGTACTATTCACATGCATCCATGTTAATCCATACTGTTTCAACTCTTCCTCACACGATCTACTCCATGTCATCCTTGAACGTCCCACTCGCCGCTTCCCTTTCGGTTCCACTCGAGCGGTGGTATGACGCGCGATGTCACCCAACGGCCTCCTCAGCGAGTGTCCAATCCATCTCCACTTTCTTCTGCACATTTTTTGAGCGATTGGTTCTTGTCTGGTTCGTTCGCATAGTTCCTTGTTGGTGATTCTTTGCGGCGATCTGATCTTCAGTATAGAACGAAGACAGCTGTTGATAAATGTCTGCAACAGGCTGTTGGAAATATTCTTTGTGACCCGCCAAGTTTCTCCTCCGTATAGAAGAACTCACTGACTTGACGTTAGTATTGAAAATCCGAATTTTGTTGTTGATGCAGAGTGACGAAGATTTCCAGATTGGTTTCAGGTTGATGAATGTGTTTCTCGCCTTCTCGATTATCGATTTGACATCCTCGTCGTCCGTTCCTCCTGTAGTTGAGACAATACTCCCTAGATAAGTGAATGAAGTAGCTTCTTTTAAATCCCTCCCGTTGATGGTGATTGGCGGTGGATGTTGCTGCTGTTTTTGTTGGTTGGTTATTTTCATAACCTCCATCTCGTCCATGTTCATCTGGAGTCCTGTCTTTGCTGCTTTTCAGACCAGTTTGTCGGTTTTTGCTTGTAGTCTTCGATTTTGTGTGACATCAAACATATATTATCCGCGAAATCCAGGTCTTGAAGATACTGTTGAATAAATTTAGTTGTACAACATACTATACCAACTGAAATTATCTGAATTCCATCAATCTTACCCATATCTCATTCAGAATATGGATTCAAGAACATAAAAACAGAGTGTTCAGATTTTCTATGGTCTTTAGCTAAAAGGTAGCTAGTCACTGCTCATCTATTTCCAACAGCTTTACCCCTAATAACAGTCTTTCTGTAAGAAACATCACTAGGCTTAACAAAGAACTTGAAGCATGGTCAAGCAACGTTGATGAGCTGGGAAAAGGATTTACCCCAGATACATTCGTACTTAATTTATTTAATTCTCAATAAACTGAATGATTAAATATGACTACATAGGTAGTCTATACCAAAAGTTCTATAGAACAAAAGCAGTACAGTCAGGAAATTTGCGACAGTTACTAAAAAGAACCAATTATTTAAAAATAAAATCTCCAGACCGAATTAAACGGCTATCTAGACTTGTGTATCTATTGTAGATGTATTGTATAACTAACCTCGTAGTCATAACCAACTATCGCAAGCTCATTTCTTTCTTTTTTCCTGTGATATACAATCGAGACTCCACATTGGTTGTTACCAACAATGTACCATCTTACTGACAGACATGCAGGTTAAGTCGAAATATACAACTACTTTGATGAAAAGTATTGCAGTAGTAAAACACGACGGCACTAAAAGATCGTCTGCTATTTAGGATTTTCTTAGGTTCCACAGTATTATGAAAAAACCGGCTGAAGATGCTAGCAACCATGACGGGATTTCAGGTGACACATGGGGAAGGCGGAAGTGATGAAGCTAACCAACCAACAGCAGAAACAACAAAAAACAGCACGAATCACTAACAATGAAAGAAATTTGAAAGAGGTCACCTCGTTCACTTATCCGACTAGGAAGCATGGCTTCAACCACAGGCAGTCGGAACGGATGAAGATATCAAAGCTAGCCAACCGAAATCGGAAAGGCAAGGTACACCTTCATCAATCGGAATCCAGTTTGGAAATCTTCTGCACTTAGTTAGCATAAAGAACAACATCTGGATTTTGTTCAATACAAATGTGAGGTCAGTCAGTTAGTTCTTCTATACGGGTCAGGAAGTTGCACTGCGTGTCACGAAAGGTATTTACAACATGTTTCAGAACTTTATCAACAGCGGCCTTCGTCGGTTCCATACTAAAGATCAGATGGCAGTCCAGAAAGAATCAACTAGAAAAAACTTTAGGAACAAACCAACCAGAAGCCGATTATTCAAGAAGTATGTAGGAGAAAATGGAGATGGATTGGGAACGTGTTGAGGGGACCATCGAATGACAATACGCACAGTGCAGGTCATCGCTCGAGCGGAATCCAAAGGAGAAACGTCAAGTGGATCGTCAATGCGACGGTGACATGGAACAGATCGTGTTAGGAGGAGGAGGAGATGAGAGATTATTTGCGATGGTGGACTTAGCTGAAGGGGACAGCAGAGAATAGAACAAAGTTGAGATGTGTTGTTCGAGCCCTATGCTCCACGCAGACTCCAAAGGAACAATGACAATAAAATCCTAAAATTGCCTATACAAATGTTAGAATACTTTTATCTCCAATATTATGTACTTATAAGATTATAACTGTATAGTTCTTTAGTATATTTCATGATGCCGTATCTCAAGAAGTTTGAGCTATAAATTTGCATGTATCAGCATATTCTCAAATCCGTTAGAGAAATTCATAAGGCATGCAATAGGGGAATCCCTGAATTGCTAATCAATGATATTTCTTCTCTTTGGAATTATAAAAGACTGATTATTGAACAAAGAGTATTCTTTTCGACAACTTCTTTTACTTCATCAGTTTCTACAGTTTGACATTCATATTTAGAGAGGAATTGTTGTTATTAACGACACTGATGTTTCTTAAACATTATCCAGCCACTAAGATCAATAAACTACAGTTGAAAAGCATCTGAAATTATAGAGAGAATAGCTACACCGAGCTTGTACAGGGACATGGAGATCACGACATTGTCGCTAGGCTACTCCATTACTGTACACAATAGCTACCTGTTTCCGCAGACCATTTTGCCTAAGCGACAGGACACGATGACGCGAGAGGGAAAGAGTATTCTGCATCAGTAGTAGTATCTCCATAAAAGGAACCAGTTGGAGAAGATAATCCATAAAAAAGATGTATACATTTATCACCTCTACTTTAAGTAAAGACATCTTACTTCAGGTCAAAATGGAACCATACCGTAATTTCTCTCCACCTGGTTGAATGACGTTGACGGAGTGAAGTGTTGTTAACTGATAGATATGGAGCATTCGTGACACCCTTCTTATGTTTTATCCGATGTTGAGCAACATATCCAGCAGAAAACCACTAGTTCTTGTATTTTTATCGGAAGATGAAGGCCACGGTAGTTGGGTATTTTATCGTGTTCCAATGTTTAACGATTTTGAAACGTTTAACAACTTAGCTGAAGGTAGTTTAGGTATTGAAGTTTCGTATGCAGCCGTAGGTTTCCTCTTCATCAGTGCGTGAGAATCTATGGCACTCTTGAGAACATCTTGTTATTAGAGACGAAAGAGTCTGGCACCGATTTGTGGTAATGAAGCACATGTTACGGGTTTCTTCCGTCACAAGAAAAGGCGCAGCAACATCTTTGAGACATTGAGTCTGAACAATAAGGAGTTTTTGGCATACACATGTTGACTGGTAATGGCATCTGTGGAGACTTGCCAAGGATGGCAGTTGTGAGTGTCGTCGTATGTGTGTTTGTTGCTGGATAAAACAGTATTTGTGTCCAGCATCTTTGCAGTCTTAACACCGGTGTCGCTTATATGGACAAGAATTCACAAAATGCGAACCACCCAAAGGCCAAAAAGATAAAAGAGGTCTCATATTTGGGCGTTGATTGTTATTCCATGAATAAGTAGGACGATAGGTGTTTGAAGTAGGATGAGGGAGTGTTCCGCCAGCGGTTGGGATACAGAGGATAATGATGTTTAATATCGCTTGTCTACGTCAGCAACACTATATAACTGTTACTCGTTTCTCCAACCCACTGTCCTTAAGCTACGTAACACAGAAAATATATTCAGCCTCACTATCTCTACAAAAGAAACCGTTGATATGTACAAATGTATACATAGCCAGTGACGTCAGTATGAGATAAGATAGTCTACAAAATGATGCGTACATCTACCAAAGTGACATTATGCATAAATAGAATACTAAGCACAATATCAGATAAATTAAGGAAGGTTATTCAGAATTTATGAGTTTCAGGATATCAGTAGTGGTTGGATCTATTTCTTTTGCATGGTAAGCTCCAGCTGTTTTGAGAAAATCCCTCTACAGGCTATCGCTAATTGCTTTGGTACCCAATCCATGATATTATCTTTATGGCCTGTGCCCAAAGCAACTGCAGACATGTGTACCTCTATGGGAGCGCCTAAGTCGACAGACACACAGATAAAGAGATCAGAGATAAATAGATAGATAGATACAACAGGAGGTGGCTAGCTAAAATAGAAACCACCCACTCAATTAGCCTTATTTCTCTATCTAAATTAATGATCGTAAATGACTCAACATTTAGCAGTATACCTGCAATAATAATTGATCACTATGATATGATCGCTTAAAAAAATAACTATTTCGTTAACAATAATCTTAAGAAAGTTACCTAGAGGAATTAATAATTACAATTTCGGATTTTTTTATTCGTTACAGTGGGTTTAATATTCCATTAGAAAACGTTTTTTAAACTGTTATTTTTATGCTTTTAAAATACCTATTTGATTTAACATAACTTCGGTGATTTTCTTCTCTGAGAGTAAGCTAACGTTTCGATTGACCTTAATCTTTAACATTGGATTGTAAAAATTTCATATGATTAGTAGTAGTAATGATAGTATTGAAGGAAAACGTGCTTAATTCGCGTCAAGATATATATATGTTGAGGAATGTATGATTGAAATAACTTCGAAAATTGTAATAAAATAAAATTCGTATTGCATTTCTTTTTCCTAGGATAATGCAAAAAGTTACATGCGGGCTAATTCAGTGAGTAAAGACTTACAAAGTCGTATACTTCGGTGGTATGATTATGCATGGTCAAAGTAAGTTGAATTGATTATATGAAATATATTTTTACGTTGATAATATATATATATTGCTGATATAAACAAACAACTGGAACAACAACCACAGGCAGTCGGAACTGATGAAGACGTCAGAGCCAGCCAGCCAGGTTTGGAAAGGCAAGATACGCTTTCATAAATCTGAAGGCAGTCTGGAAATCCTCTGCAATCACTGAGCGAAAAGAACGAGATTCGGTTGTTCAACACAAATGTGAAGTCAGTCATTGTTTCTACACGGCTCAGAAAGTTGCACTACGTGTCACGTAAAGCATTTCCAACAGGTTGCAGACTTTAATCAACAGCTGGCTCCATACTGAAGATCAAATGGCTGACGAGAAAGAATTAGTAACAAGAAATCCCGTAGTGGAACAAACCAACCAGGGGTCTATCCTTCAACAAATATGTAGGAGAAAATGGAAATAGATCAGAGATACGTTGAAGAGGCCATCGAATTACACTGGGCGCAATTCAGGTTACCGCTGAAATTGATTCTGAATGGGAAAGGACGAAAGGGGAATCTTACGAGGTCGTGTGGGGATGAGGTGAGAGACAATGGGCGATTTCGGATCCAGCCAAAGAAGACAGCAGGAAACAGAACAAATTGGGGACTTGCTTTTCAAGCCCTATTTTCCACTAGGAATCCAAAGGAATTATAATGATAAACACCAATATATATTGCTAAATTTCAACATAAAGTGTTGCAGATGGATGTACCAGTTCAATTCTTCACACTCCATAAATTGCACAAAAGTAGAGAAATGAGAGAAGAAAGTAACTTAGAAGGGCTGTTGTCAGTAGGAATGTCACACAAAAGGAGACGTTACATCGAAATCTTGAAGGCTTAATAGTTATGAGATACTACAAAGAGAGAGGTTGTGTGAAAAATTTTGATCCATTTAAGTGATCTACGCAGATCGAATAGTTTTATGAGCAGATCTGACATTCTTATGTCAATCAGTTGGAATATACAAGAATACATTTCGAATAATCCAATCATAAGAGTATACCTCATAGTAATTTATGTGAGAAGTAATAAAGACGATGAAGAATGAACAACCAAGATCAGTAATATCAAATTGATCTCAGAGTATATTAATTTTGCCTTCATGTGTAGACATACTGTTTGTGAACATAAAGCTGGCCTAAATTTCCCAACGATTCAAGTCTAATTGTACGGCCTATGTAAGGTCAAACAAAATCTATTCGCAGCGCTATTCTGGCGCATCTTGTGGAGACAGAACACAAGATTGACGTTAATCATGCTTTCAGGGTCATTTACCGCATACCTATGAATCTCAATTTCGCTTTAAGAGTTCGACTACTAAATATTGCTGAGGCTGTGGGGATTCATATTAATAAGCCTAATTTATGCACCCAAAAGAAGTTAGTCCAGTCATTATCATTACCTTGGCCATCCAGGTTTGAATAATCCAGACTTTTTGTGAAATTTCCCTAATTTCAGTTGATATTCTATTTGCTACTATATCTTTATTATTATAATTTAAGCATCTTTAATGAACTGTAATTCCATTGTGATCTTACTTTACAAATCGATAGTATTTTAAAAAAAACGCTTATATTGTTATTAACTACTAATTTAAAATATTCTGTGTATATAAACATATATATAGTTGTAGAGCCTGGAAGAGGAATTTATCGAAAAGAATATTCTTCGCTCGATTATTTTGTGTTTTATAGATGTCTGAAAAAATAACATAATATAATATACAAAATACCTTGCAATGACTGTGAGTTAGGCCAACTACATAGGTCAAACTATTAGATCAGGAGTAGTGAGATTGCCTGTCAGAACATAAGAATTTAATGAAGGTTAGAATGACTGATTCTACGAAGATAAGTAATTTAGTGGAAAACTCAGCAATCGCACTGCATGCATTAACAAACAACAACACAATAGCGTGAGTGGGACGGAGCCGAAATTCTCAAAAGTAATAAAGTCAGGTGGAGAGAGAGGGGTTGATTACTTTATCCTTGTTTATCGAGTATACACCTAATACGAACCATAGGAATGACTCATCACTCATCCCGGAAATATGGAAAATACTACTACCAATCAAATCAAGCAATGAAAAATAATGGAATTATATAAACGAAGTTTGTAAGTTGTGTGAGTAGTGACTTGATATGATTATGAGCAGCAATAAATTGTGCTCTTAACGACATGAGTAAATATTACTGTATTACAGGCACTGTGTAACTTTATCAAAATAGATTTTACACACAACGGAATTACCACTGTGAAAGTTTTAATATAGTTTCATGAAAAATGTTCGAGTCTAACAAAAAACCTTTCTCTCTATACATTTAAGTTTATTTTGTGCCGTCTTTGAGACCTTACTCAGTATGAATCAGAAGTTAATGAATATCTCATTTCTCCTAATGAAGAAAGGCGGCCTTTAATTTGACGTTTTGTTATAAAATACTAGAAGGAAACATTAGGGCATCAATATTATATTACAGCTATGTTCCTTAATAAAACAACATCAATTGGGAAATCACTGTGAACCAATGAGACACTGGAGGGACATTGTCCTAGTTTTGTTCACCTAAATAGTGCCCACAGACAGGCCCACTGATCTAAGAAGCCAGTCTGTACATCATACAACCTCCTCTCTATAACCTCCAGCCTCAACTACCCTATGATGCGTTCTGATGAAGAGTCTCGAAATACGACGAAACACCTGTCCATTTCTGATATAATCTGCAGTGAAATAAATCGAAAAAAAATAAAAATAAATAAAATTTAACATCGGATGATCATTTTATTATTATTGTTTATGATTATAGATTCGTTCTTACTATTTTTTTGATGTTTGCTTTCTGCACTTACTTCACTTTACTTTCACTTCTAAAATAATAATTTTAATGAATCGGAAATGAACTCCACATATTGACAAGAAAGGAATCTTCTGCTTATTTTCATTTCTCTCTGTACTCTTTTCATCAAAGTTGGAAAAAAAAGAAGATTTAAAAACAAAAATTGAGACTTGTAAACAGAATTTGCAGGCAGAGAAATCATGCATGGCATGCATTAAAGTTTCAGCTTATGTATATTATTTATTGTTAGGGCTTTAACATCTAGTAAGTAGGCTAACACAATGTTTATATATAAATACATAAACTCCGAGAACAACATTTCTCGGAGTGAAGCAAATTTCACGTTGCCATTCAATGTACAATACATTTAATGCATTTCATCCATTCTGACTGACTGACTGGTCATAAAAGGCATAAACAATCAGTTCGTAAATATTTTTGTAACAATTGAACTAAAATAAATTCATCTTCAAGTGCTCGTATGCAGGAATTTGATTGTTTACAGGATTTCATTATGTACTGACTGACATCAGTAAGAGAATCATTGGAAGAAAAGCGGGCACTATTGGACAGCTGGTTGGTTAGTCTGGTTCTGGATTCCTCAGAAGTGCGCATCCACCTGAGTTCGAATTCAGGAGCCTCTGTCTACTCGAGTAAGCTCGTAGACATTTTTTTGTTCGCTGCACCTTCCTAGATTACAGATGTGCTTTCGACTAAGTGCCTAGGAACATTTTGTTAAACAAGCGCGCTGAAACTCAAAATAAGTGTTGGCTTGTCACATTGCTGTATTCTTATTTCTCAGGAAGACAGCAGTACACGGTGTGTCACACAAATGTCATTCAGTCAACTGCTTACTGAGGCTGGTGTCCAACGAGGCGCTGTTCTTTCACCTTTTCGGTTTTCTTCTTCTTGAATGACTTGCTTCACTCTGATGAAATTAACCTTGTTAAGTATGCTGATGAGCTAACTATTTCAGTGTCTGTTAACTCCCACCTAGACTGTACTAAGATGAACAGCCCTCTATGAGGAGTCAGTAAATAATTTTCGTCTAACGGCCTTAATCCTTCCAAATGTCAGACTGTCAATTTCAGTTTCCGATGTAAACGAAAGTTAAATGAAGCTGCTGGTTCCTACGACCCTTGCGAAATTGATGATACTGATATTGAAACCAAGTATGAAGTTAAGTATAGTGGATTAATTCTTTCTTCTGATCTATCCTGATCTTCCAGTGTCTTAGCGATTTCTAAAACAATATTTAGTCTGACATTTTACATTAAGAAGTTAATGCACTCAAGCATAACCCAACCCCTCCTCTTACAGTTTGTCAACTCGTGCATCTTACCTATTCTTCTTTACTGTTCACCTTTATTCTTTCCAGGATTGCTTAAAAAAGACTATGTCATACTTCGTAGAACTCTGACGACTATCAGTAGGGCGAGTGGTATCCAATAAGGTCATATCGTTGACATTTTCACTGCTGGGCACTTGATGTCATGCAATAAATTCGTAAAAGGATTTTTGTCAGACTGTGAGCACCCACTCTGGCGAGAACAACATTTCTAAGAGTGAAGCAAGTTTCACTTTGCCGTACAATGTACAATACATTTAATGCATTTCCTTCATTCTGACTGACTAACTGGTTATAAATAGCATAAACAATCAGTTTGTAAATATTTTGTAACAAAATCATAAATTAATCTTCAAGTTTTTGAATACAAGAATTTGATTGGTTACGAGACTTCATTAGGAACTGACATCGGTAAGAGAATAATTGGAAGAAAAACCTGCGTGTGTTGGACAGGTGTTTCGTCAGTCTAGTTTGGGATTCCTCAGCAGTATGCATCCATCTGAATTCGAATTCAAGACCTCCTGTTTACTTGGCGATCTCGTTGATCATTAAGCCACTGGGTCTTGATTCTGCTGCCCATGAATCCCGTACTCTGCCAATTTAAAATATAACGCGACTGATAGCCAGTGTAGTGCGTCTGTGGCACAGTGATTGAATGCTCACCAACCACACATGTAGTCTGGGATTCGATCCCCGGCCACCGACGCACTCCTTTACCTCACTAAATCAGTAATAAGGCTGGTAAAGAGGGAAGGTTGGTCGGGCATGAGGCTAATAACTTCACTCCGTAAAA